AACATGCATGTTTTTGGTCTGTGGGAGGAAACCGGAGCACCCGGAGACAACCCACGCATGCACGGAGAGAACATGCAAACTCCACCCAGAAAGGCCCCTGGACCGGGGTTTGAACCAGGGACCTGTTCGCTGAGAGGCAGCAGCTCTACCAGTTGCGCCACCGTGCTGCCTTCTCTGCATATTGTTTATATGTTAATGCACAGTAGATAATAATTTGCAGTGTATGTGACACATGGGAACAATTTACTTAAATTTGTTTCTGTTGTTCACAGGAAACTATTCACACATACACATTTACACATCCACAGGCAAGTAGCACACACCCCACACAGAGACCCACACCTGCATTCATTCTTACTGTAAACAGTTGGAAATACAGAAGTTAAAGGAATTCTGCGTGGTGTCCTCCTTCCTACTCCCTTTTAAAATCCTGCTTAACAAGAACTAAACTGATTCCTGGCCTGAAGTGCTGTTCTAGTCGACACTCCAGGTGGAGAGCTGTGATAAAATACAACTAGTGCCTTACAGTCCTAACATACAAGAGTTATCTCATCTACAGTCACTTGCTGAATGCGTCAAACTAAAGAAAGTGTGGGAGGAATGTAAAGAGGATCCTGGCTTTGTAGCAAAGTGCTTAGAGTTTGACAGAGGTCTTTTTCTTCTGACATTCTCTGCAAACAAAGGATGAGGGAAACTTCACTGATAAAAACAGCATTTACAGAGGGAATCAGCTGATCTAGAGTCAGAGAAAAAGACAGACCGCTTAGCGCAGGAGTCAGATTAACCTTGATCCACCCTGCAGGAGCTGAGGGCTGTCCTCTAGAGAGAAACAAACTCAAAACCCCTGTCTGATTTGGGAACGCCTTGGCATCTTCCCAAAAGTGCTAAAAGAGGTGGCTGTGGAAAGAAATGTCTGCGTCTAACTGCTCAAACTGTGAGCAGTTAGACTCAGTTTGTGAGCAAACCACATGACTCGACTCCAAAACATGCAGAAGATAATGGATGGATGGATGGAGGATTTTAAGAATGTCTCAAGGAAAATTAAAACAAGCTGTGTACTTCTTTTTATTAGTTTAAGGAGGATGCTTTTTGATCAAAATAGGCCTAATTATTTTATTTATTTGTTTTTTATGTCATACTTTGTACTGACTGACACTGATATAGGAATGTGTGAAATTAAAATAAATAAATGTTTCATTTCTAGCCAATAACTGATGTCTAAATTAACTATCACAAGTGTTACTTTAAAATATTATGTTTAATTTTCAAGTGTGTTTGGAAGAAAACTAAAAAGCCCTGAAAGACACTTGCGGTTTATTTTTATACGTGTGTTTGTTTGACCATTTCTGTTTGTTAGTAAAATGTCTCATGAACCAGTGAACAGATTTTAACAAAACGTCCAAAAAGTAATCAATGACTGTGCATCTACAATCAGCCAAATTCATGATGACCATTAGAGTTTATTGACTTTAGTCAACACAAAATGGCTATAAATCAGTCAGCTGTTCAGATATTGAGCTACAACTTGTTGTGGTAGTAGCTGAGAGTCATCTCCAGCACACACTTGCAATGTTAAAAATCAAGTGGGATCTCTAAGCTATACCAATTCAGGAAGGCCATCACAGCTCATCCTTAGCAAACACAAAAATTGCAATCACTTAATTTTACAAATGTTAAACAATTTATTTTGGAAGTAGTAGTGGAGAGTTATCTCTAAATCCCACTCAGAGCTATTAACAGTTTGCACATGACCTTTGTATAAAGCATTGAGATACAAGGCAGCAGGTGCTATGAATTCCTTAAAAAAAATGCTACTTTCATCATATAAAGCCTTCAAAAATCTAAAAAAGTGCAACAAATGTTGTGATTTGAAAGGATGCAGTTCTTAAGTGTGTAGTTTTGCAGATGATGATGTTGTATGTGATAGATGCAGGTGGTGTACTATACCTCAGTTTGAGATAAAGTTGTTATACCCTGATGCATGCTCAATAATCCTGGTAGATAAATCTAACAAGGTTGTCAGGTCCTCTGATAGATTCTTCTTTGTTGAAACGTCTGAAGTTATCAGTCTGAAGGTCTTTTGGATAAAAGATAGAACGTTTCAACAAAGAAGAATCCGTGCAGAGGACCTGACTCAACCTTGTTAGAAAGTTATTATACCTTTAATTAGGTCTTTTGTCAGAACTTGGTGAGTTTTCTGTAACTTGGGAATGTTCTTGATTTTGACATTCACTCTTGCCTCGCAGTGATTGCTGATTATGTTTTTTGGACTAAGAGCCAAAGACATTTGTGTTATATTCATCAGAAACTCTAAATTGAATGTTCATATGCATGACTGTCTGACTTCTTTCTTAACATTAACATCCTAATATAGCAATGAGGGCATTAATGATCATTAATTTCAATTTAGTTTTGAGATGAATATGTTCTTTCAAGCATCTTTAATTTATGTTTACATGTTGGTCGTTCCAGAGATGGTGGACAATGTGGAGTGTCCTTCGGCCTCCACCTCTGAAGAGCAGTCCCTCTGTTCCTACACTTCTGAGTCATTGGATGACAATGGTAGGAATTAACTGAGAAAGCAAAACGCAATACTGTACACACTTTATTTTTATACATTAGCATAATACAAATGCAGTGATGAAAAAATAAATACTGTAGTCCCTCCTTTATCGCGGGGATCTGTACCCTGAATCCCCACGATAAGTGAATAACCACTAAGTAGTAAGTACTAAGTACTTTGTACTAAGTAGTAGTTTATTTTAGTATATACATATATATATATATATATATATATATATATATATATATATATATATATATATATATATGTGTGTATGTATGTATATGTATATATATGTATGTATGTATATATATATATATATATATATATCCATCCATCCATTTTCTTTACCCGCTTATTACAGTTTGGGTCACGGGGGTCGCCGGTGCCCATGTCCAGCAATCACTGTGCGAGGGGCAGGGTACACCCTGGACGGATCACAAGTCCATCACAGGACCACATAGAGACAAACGAGACAAACAACCATTCACTCTCTCATTCACACCTAGGGACAATTTAGAGTCACCAATCAGCCTAACATGCATGTTTTTGGACTGTGGGAGGAAACCGGAGCACCCGGAGAAAACCCACGCATGCATGGAGAGAACATGCAAACTCCACCCAGAAAGGCCCCTGGACCGGGGTTTGAACCAGGGACCTGCTCGCTGAGAGGCAGCAGCTCTACCAGTTGCGCCACCCTGCTGCCTATATACATATATATATATATACTGTATATATAAACACTTCCCACACTCTTGCAATATTCTAAACAATGTTTCTAAACTCTAAACGTTCTAAAAAAGCACAGCATGTCATGAACTCAGCTCTCTGCCACAGCTGCACTCTGGGCTCTCGGACACGCCCACTTCTCCGCTATAGAACAGAGGAAGGAGGAGGAGGTGCAGGAGGAAGTTTCTCCTGCAGTGGGCTGCACACAGATGTAGCAGGTGCTAAATAATTTAAAATATTTCATTTTAAATAACTCCAATAATTCCATACCAATCATGCGGCTCACCCATCAGTCAGCCAATTGTGTCTCATGTCCACTCTTATTTTGAAAAACTACAATAGAGCGAGTCCGTGAACAATGAATCATAAATAAGCAAGGGACTACTGTACATTTAGAAACTCTGTACATGTATGACCCACCAGCAGCCTCGCCATCGTTTTTCAGGTTTATGCTGGTGGGTGTCAAGGTGTGTTATATTTCTATGAGCGTTTCCAAATATGTTTTACACTAAAACTAATGTATACAACAAATAGTGATTTACTTAAAAAAATACTCTAAGAAGATGCTTTTTGAAATACCAGCAGATTCCACTGAACATATTACCACACATATAATTCTTAATTGGTGTACTTTTGAAATGGTTTGTCGGTGTTACAAAATTAGTTTAGATCAACAATAATGTCTCTTAATCTCAGTGTCACTGATTGATTCAAACTGACTGATCAAAATGGCAATAAATCAGAATTCAAGTATGCTAAAATGCAAAATGTCTATTGCTAAATTGGTACTTAGCCAACAACAATCAACTATAAGTATTCTGTGTATGTTTGTTTCGCAACAGATGTTGTTGGCTGAAAGAGTAAAATGTGTTCCAAGTGCTGCATTTCACTTCTGCACCTGTGCAAACTGGTTGTTTTCTCAAATATGTATAACAGCAGAACATTTGGTAAGGGAAATTTAGACCTCATTATTGGATTCTTGCTACTTCCATTCTTTATAGTCAAAATGTCAGCTATGAAATATGCAAACTGAGTCTTGTAGAACTAATTCCAGTTAAGACACAGTGGGAGGTTGTTGTTGTTTGCCTCAGAGTTGATCAGATTTAAATTTTAGGTTGACCTTTGGAAGTAATGTTCCATGGAAAGATTATGGACAAGTAATATCTTACCTGTTGTTGATAGCTTTATAAATTACCTCATTTTGGAGAAACGGCGACTGACCCAACTAAACATTTTACAGCAGTACTGCTGGTCAGGGTTACTAAAAAGAGCTCCCCACCCAATATGTGATGTCCACAAGTACCCTGATTTTGGGGAAAAGAGAATTTTGAATATAATACAATCAGTGCTGTAGTTGTGGTTTGTGACGATAATAATAAAAAATAAAAACAGCTGTAAAATGGTGTTTAAGAAGCATTGTTGCTACGGGACTTGCAGTAGTGATGGCCGATATGTTGACAAGCCTCATATGCAAGTTATATAGTTCATGCTCTTTCCAAAGCCAGTTACTCAGGGAGAGAAATGTGATAACTGGGTTCCACTATGTGGCTGAGTTGGCTTTGACTGGAAAAATGTAAACAAGAATACTTACATCTGAGTGGAAGTATAATATTTTTAAACCACTAGAGATGCCAAGAATACCATCACCATCCTGGCGTTCTCTACTTGGAGCAGTGTTAAAGCAGTCTAAATGTGATTTATATCTAAAATCGGCTAGACATTGGATAAAACTTAAAGTTCCTTTCCGTTTCCAAGCAAAAGTAGAAGAACTGATAGCTAGCAACTAATGGCTAACACTGCTAACAAATTAAATCAAAGAAGTGGTTGACAAAATCATTCATCAGGACTGCCGCAGAAAACCTTTTCAATACATGGAGAATTAGTGGCATGCATACTACATGTAATCTTCAACCATATGTTCTTTTTCACCAATGCACAAGAGCATGAATCAGCATGGAAATACCAGGAACACCACACGTAAAATTTTATCAGTTTGGTACAGTTGCTGGACACTGCTAGTCCTTTGCATTGTAGCCAGTGCATGAGCTGTGTATTGATGTATCCTTCAATATGTTCCAAGGCAATTTTGGCCCTGGGGACATTTCGTTTAAGTTGGCATGGACAAAATCATTGGAGGTAGCCATTATGCTTGAGGTCTGCCGTGTTTTTTGCCCAACATCTGGAATTTTTGGACTCCCCACAATTCTTGTGATGTCATCCCTGATCAATGCTACTCCACTCTCAACAATTTGATGGCAGTTCATGCAAATGCAATTTCATACACCTTTAACATTTAGCCACAGAAGCCACTAGCTTCAATTGTAGCCTGGGACATCTTCAGCACAACATAAATTCTCAGCCAAAAACCCTGTTGTGCAAAACTGACAGTAATTTAAAGGTTTTGCTTTTGCATTAAGCACTTTGAGATTATTATTATTATTTTTAATTTAAGTTGTTTTAAGCCAGCAGCAACCCATTTCAGTCTTTACCTCTGACTATCCTTCACCTCATCAAACTGTGGTCATTTAAAGAGCAGCAGATGCGACTTTTTGTGTAACCTTTCCACAAAATGCCATTCAAAGGATCGGAACTATATCTTTAATGATAAAATAATTGAAATTTGCATGCACTAGTTTATTTTGTGCAACTGGCCTGCCTATACAACATAATATTTTTTCCCCACTGGCTCATAAATCTGTTAATCATGATGGAGGTCTATACTGGATCCTTCCTAAAAGATCATCTTGTTTGCTACAATCTTAAAATATATTGTGATTACCGTACTAAAACTGAACATACTATGTACATTTTCTGTTATGCAATCATGCATGTCATGTCTTAGAAAAATGAAAGCCATAGAATGTTATGAATGTTAATAATGATGGGTTAGTTGTATCATATTATGTAGTGAAAACAATACAGGTGAAAGGGTTTTCAGTGGTTAATATGCAGGTTCATGTTTACAGAAAAATACTTTTGCTGAATTTCCCTTTGTGTATTCTTCCCAGATAACTCAAAATCATTGATTTTACTTCTTATCTGAGTGTAAGAGGGTGGAAGTCTAACACCCTAATGATTATTCCGGTGTGGATATGTCTGTTGCTCTGTTCTTTAGATTAAGAATCTATGTTGATTCTTTCCCTCCAGTCTAATTAGTGTAGCTGCATTAAAACAAGTGCTCATCTATTTTCCACTAAAGAACTTTTAAGAAAATGATTATTTATTGAAAATAATAAACCTGCTTCTAAAATAACATGTTTTTCTTTGTAGCTTCAAAGGTTGAATGAAAAAAAATAAAACACTTCTACATATTAGAATATGTTCTTTATGTAACTACAGTCTGATAAATACACTGAAATTATTTATATTCTTAAAAATTCAAACAGCCAAAGTACAAAATATCAATCAGACATCTGCTGCCACTGATTAGCTCTTGCTATCATGTAACGTGTTACAAGCTTCTTTGCTTTGTGTTTTCTGCCTAGATTCCATAGTGACAGTCATACGCCTAGTCAATGATGCAGTTGATGATATTGAAAGTGAAGGTATGAAAGAATATCTTTTGTTAACTCTGTTATATTTGGTTTGATTCTTTTCTTGTACCAAACTGTTTGTTTTGCTGTGTAGGGAAAATAAAAGCAAAATGAAGGAAAGATGAAGTGAACAGAATGCAGCCAAGCATCTGCACCCCAATCCCCTTTCTTATTAACAATAAAGCATCCTGCTTAGGTTTCCAATATTTTAGTCAGTCCCTGACACTGAATTTCTCTCTACTTCCATTTTTCCTCTTTGGTTTATGTTGTTTGTCTCAGCTGTTCTTTGACTTTAACTTTCTCTCTCCCTTTGAAGTGTCAAACTTGGGTAGCAAGAAACAACAGCAGTGGAACAGTCCTGGTGAGTAAGACGCAAAGCAGCTGAAAAACACCTTATTAAGACTCTGTTCCCCCACTACACTGTTTCTCAAGCTGTGATCCTAAACTCTACCTGCTTTGTTCTTTGCAATATTTTCTGTTAACAATTTAACAAGACCTGATTCAGTGCATTTTAGAAGTGTTGTTTGTGACAATGTAGCTTTAAGTTTCCAGGTTAACTCTAAGGCCAAACTGAGAGAAAAAAAATCTGATAGGTTTCACTTTGAATCTTGAAAAAGGTAGTGAAATAAGATGGTATCATTAATGCTCTTGGACCTGTCAAGCACAGCATCTTATTGGTTAACACTGTTGTCTCACAGCAAGAAGTCCAAGATGGCTGCGCTCAGCCGGGCAGCAGCTTCAACGAGTCTCTGTGAAATCCCAGTTTTTGAGAGTTTTGGAATTGGCTCCGTGGCCGACTCCGCTCGTCTTGTTTGAATTATAGTCGAACTGAACTGATGAACATAAGAGAGGGTTTAACTCTGTATACAGCAGCTATCGACAACAATTTGAAAACTATGCTTGGCAGACTGCAGCTTCTACGGACATCAGTGTGGAGGCAGCAGCACTCAAATAGGAAGAGGAGGCATTGTGCCCAGGGGAAAAAGAGGGGAAGCTGGGCTGGAGTATTAGCGAGACTGAAGGCTAATGCTAAGGCTAACAGACTCTCGATCCCGTCTCGCTTCCTGTCCAACGTTCGCTCTTTTGAAAACAAGCTGGGTCTGCTGCGACTGAGAGTGAGTGCCTCAAAGAAGATGAGAAAATGCGCTGTACTCTGTCTCACAGAGACATGGCTTAATAACAATATGTCAGACTCAGTGTTCCAGCTGGATGATAAAGTTTTTTTCGTGCGGACCGCTGCAGCGAGCTAACGGGGAAGACATGGGAAGGTGGAGTGTGCATCTACGTAAACAAAGGTTGGTCCACAACCTCTGTCCTGATAAACAGTTCCTGCTCGGAGGCTTTAGAACAACTGACTGTAAAATGTCTACCACATCATTTACCTCAGGAGTTTACGGCAGTGTTTATCATTGTTGTCTATATAGCCCCGGATGCTTATGCTAAAGATGCTTTGCAGGAGTTACATGATAACATCAGCTCGCTGCAAAACAAGCATACGGAGGCTTTTTACGTGGTGGCTGGTGATTTTAATCACGTAAACCTGAAAGACACTCTGCCAAGATTTTATCAACATGTGACTATTCCAATACGGGGTAATAACACACTTGACTGTTTTTACACCAACATATCAGGTGAATACAAAGCCGTACTCCACCCCACCTCAGCTTTTCTGATCACATCTCCATACTACTGGCCCCTGTCTACCCCCCCACCCCGCTGAGAAGTTCCAGACCCACGCAGAAAAATGTCACCATGTGGGTCAGTGACAGTGACTCTGTAGTGCAGGACTGTTTTGCATGTACAGACTGGCAGATCTGTCACGGTCAGCGGTCCCCGCTGCCCCCCCCATCTGCCTAAGCCTCTGCTCCTTGTGTGTTTTCTGCTTTTGTGTATCTGGTCCTGTTATCCCACAAACTAAATCATTTCCTTCCTTTTCAAGGTGCTTTGTAAATGTGTCACTTTAATTACATTCTGAGTTCTGTTTGACTGGTTCTGTCTCTGTCTGCTCTTTATGTTTTTGTTGTTCTGCTCTGTGTGTGATTTTCTGTTTATCTGATTCTGTTATTTTCCACTCACTCCTCAGTCTGCCTCTCCACTCAATCTTTATCATTCACACCTGTCCCTCATCAGCCACCTGCCCAGGTGCTCTCGTTACTCACTCTCCCTCTGTCTCATAAAAAGCCTGTCTCTCCTTCACTTTTTGTCTGGTGATTGTTCTGTGTTCACAGATGTCTCAGTCCTCCTCTGTCTTGTCAGTTTTTTGTCCATCTGATGATCTGCTCTGCCTAGTTCCTGATCCTGTCTGCCAAAGTAAGGTTTTGCTGCACCGACAGCCTTTTGTTTTGTCATTTAAAAATAAATTATTTTTATTTTGAACTCCTGCCTCGCCTCGCCTCCCTGCATTTGGGTTCCAACCTCGAGGATCGTGACAAGATCTTCAGGGAGGCTGCTGTAAAAGAGGGACAGCTGGATCTGTAGGAATACACATCTGCTTTCCTCGAATACATCAAAAAGTAGTAAAGCAACTGGCCCAGACAACATCCTGGGGAAGGTTCTGAAAGACTGTGCCAATCAGCTCTGTGAGATACTGGTCAACATCTTTAACTCCTCCCTCACCCTGGCAACTTTTCCCACTTGCCTGAAGACTACCACCATCATCCCAGTTCCTAAAAGCTCTGCAACAACTGGTCTGAATGACTACCGGCCATTAGCCCTCACTCCAATAGTCATTACATGCTTTGAAAGTCTGGTCATGACCCACATGAAAGCTATCATCAACATCAGCAAGGACCCTCACAAGTATGCATACTGCAAGAATCGATCGACAGAGGACGTCATGTCCTCTGTTGTCCACACTGCTCTCACCCACCTGGAGCAGAAGGACGATGGACAAACTACTCACACTAAGACTAAGCTCCTCTCTATCCAAATGCGTCCTAGACTTCTTAACAAACAGACAGCAGTCTGTGAAGAGCCACAGCTTCTCCTCCACCATAATCCTCAGCACTGGCTCCCCTCAGGGATGTGTGTTGACCTGCGACTTTCTGATCACAAGCCCATCTTCTAACCTCTGCGCCGCCACTCCGCCTAAAGATTTAATTAAGAAGACAAAGGAGATGGTTGTGAATTTCAGAATGAACAAACACACCTAACCCCACTGAGTATAGGAGGATCTGCAGTAGAAGTTGTCTCCAGATACAAGTACTTGGGTGTGCACCTGAACGACAACCTCAGCTGTGGTGACAACACTACCAGCCTGATCAAGAAAGCACATCAGAGACTCTACTTCCTCAGGCAGCTGAGGCAGTCTGGACTGAGAAGCTCAGTCCTCACCTCCTTCTACAGGTGTGCAGTGAGTGTGCAGTGGAGAGCATCCTGTACTTCAGCATCAACGTGTGACATGGAGGCTGCACAACTGCAAAAAGGACAGCTCTGCAACTGTGCAACAACTGCATGGAGTCAGCCTCCTCACCATCACAGACATCTACACCTCCAGATGCAGGAAGAGGGCCACCTGCATCACGAAGGACCCAACTTACTCAGCACACACACTTTTTGCCCCGCTCCTCTCAGGCAGGAGGTTGTAGAGCATTAAGTGCAGAACAATTAGACTGAGGAACAGCTTATACCCTGAGGCTGTTAGACTCATGAGTATCTAATCAGGATAATCACTGTGGGGGAAAAAATCACTGTAATGCCACTTTGATTGGTGATATGGACTGCTGATTATCCATGCTGCTGATCTCATGCTGCTGATTATTTCATGCTGCTGTATTCATTCATACTCATCTACTCACACAGACTTATTTTCTTGCTGCTGTTGTTCGGCATGTTGCACTATTAGTGTTTAGCGTATTTCATAGTTTATATCTTAGATCCTTTTTAATGTTTCTTTTTACAATTTATACTTTTGCTATTATTGGATGTGACTTGGACCTTGTGTACACAGTTTAATTCCACCTCATGTACCACATGTAATGCGAATGATAATAAAACCTACTTGAACTTGAAGTTCCTGCGTTCAATACCCGGTTCTTAGAGGCATTTGCATGTTCTCCATGCGTTAGGGTGAGTTGTCTCTGGGTTCTCTGGTTTCCTCCAACAATTCAAAAACATACATGTTAGACCTAGGCTTCCCTTTCTAAATAAGGCTGTGATCTCAGTGGGATTTTCCTGGTTAAAGACAGATTGAAAAGAAATGTCATCTATGAATCTGTACAATACTCATGAAAACAACCAGCCTAATTCTGTAAAAGTCCTTCTGACTTGACCCCAACAGCTTTGCTTCTTCTTGGCATGAACATGGGATCTCTTGGCATTTTTCTGTGGAACTGGCAACTCGTTGTTTCTGTGAGTAGGTGTTCTAAGCGTCAGGATTGCTCTATTGCATCGCACAGATGTTCAATTAGATTGTGAGCTTGGTAAATGCCGCAGGCTCTTTATTGTGTGACTCAAGCCACTTCTGGCAATATTTCCTGTTTGGGGTTCGTGCATTGCCCTCCTGAAGGAAGCTGCAGCCGTCAGGAAAAGTCATTACTATTAGACTGCTTAGAAATATACTTTAATTTTGAGAGAGAACTTGGATAATAAATTGGAAATATATAAATGTTAGGTTTTAGTTTTAATATTTAAAGGGATAGTTTAGATAATGTTTATGTGAGGTTCTGTGGAAGGGTTTTGAATAAGTAATATCTGACCTGTTGTCAATAACTCTGAACATTTTTAGTTTGAATAAATAGTTTATTTTGAACCTAGTAAATAACAAACACATAGTTCAGGCACAGGGAAGACCAAAGTGGATTATAAAACAACTCCTGTCTTTGCCATTTCAAAGCAGTTCATGCAAATGTAATTTTATAAACATTTACACAGCCTTCAGTATCATGTTGCACAGTTATTCTGAAAGAAATATATTTGGCAAGTGCCCTAGGCTACACCATAAAGTCATATGTCACAGGGCTGCAATTGTTGGTGACTATGTTGTGTTTGTCGGCAGTTTTGATGACTCCAGAATGTCTTACGGCTATACGGGGGTTCTCAACTTCACTGCGTGAGGGTTTTTTTTTTGTTTTGTTTTTTTCAAAATGTTGTCATTGCAGGTGTCTCAAATTCTTCTCAGTTTTGTTGTGGGCATCTTAAAGAGATAGCTGAATTTTTCACCTGTACAAGAGACCTCTCCTCAGATAGAAAGCATAAATCAAGCAAAAATAATGTGCACAACCTGCAATACAGTTTTGCAAGCTGTGCACACAAATAGACCAGGAATTTCAAAAATTGATGATCAAAAATTTTCAGTAAAAATTTACAGAAAAACTTTGGCGTGACTGCTTTGAGGTATTGTATATTTCCTCACAATAATAA